TAAAGGTCTGTTTTTTGGGAATTGACTTATAGGTATAGGTATATACATCAGAAGGGGTCAAGATGGGCAGACAGGCGTGAGCGTGGGGCCCATGTTGGTGCCCCAGGGCCAGAACCAACAGAGGCCCAGGACAGGGCTGCAGGAGCACAGAGCCCAGGTTGGCAGGGGAGAAGGGGAACCGGGCTGCAGTGACCACAACTGTGGCTCCCCACTCCCTGCCCACCGCCCAGCATGGAGGGAACCACCAGCACCACCCTGGTAACAAATTATATTTAATTACATTAATTCCTATGGGAAAATGGGTTTTGCTTAATGCTGTTCCATTTAACGTTCAGTTGTTCAAGAACCAATTAAGAGCTTTAAGCGGGGATTGCCTATATTAACAATCACTTTGCTGTACGTTGTGGCAGCAGTCCCTGGGACACAGACCCTGATTCTTGGAAGCAGCACATTATGACAGAGGAGGCAGAACTGCATTATAGTCTGCTAACCCAACAAATGTGCACTGGAGGCTTGGGGGGCTGGTGGGCAGCAATCTGGGGGGGCTAGGGGAGTGGGTGGGGCTGGCAGGGGGCTCCCCATGGTCCCCTTCGGCAGCCCCTCCATGCCCTACTTACCAGTAGGAGCCTGGGTCCTGCTCCCCATGGCTGGTACTTCAGCACTGGGATGAGGGCCGGCCATAAAGACACTCTGGCAGGCTACCAGAGCATCTCTGTGGAGGACTTGCGGCATTGATGAATGCACGGTCACATGGGTGGAAAACTGGCTCCAGGGGCGCACCCAGAGGGTGGTGGTGGATGGGTCGATGTTGACCTGGGGGGGTGTGGGTAGCGGAGTCCCCCAGGGCTCGGTCCTAGGACCAGTGCTGTTCAACATCTTTATTAGCGACCTGGATGAGGGTGTGGAGAGCACCCTGTTCAAGTTCGCTGATGACACCAAGCTGTGGGGTAAAGTGAATACACCGGCAGGTAGGGACCACATCCAGGCAGACCTGGATAGGTTAGAGAAGTGGGCAGATCTAAACAGGATGCGGTTCAACAAGGACAAGTGCAGGGTGCTGCACCTGGGGAGAGGGAACCAGCATTATGGTTATAGGTTAGGGGCTGACCCTCTTGGCAGCACAGAGGCAGAGAGGGATCTTGGAGTCAGGATTGACTCCAGGATGAATATGAGTCGCCAATGCGACGAAGCAATAGGCAGAGCCAACTGCACCCTGTCATGCATCAACAGGGGCATCACTAACAGGTCCAGAGAGGTCTTGCTCCCCCTCTATGCGGCGCTGGTCAGGCCGCAGCTGGAGTACTGTGTCCAGTTCTGGGTGCCGCACTTCAAGAAGGACGTGGAGAACCTGAAGAGGGTCCAAAGGAGGGCCACTCATATGGTTGAGGAGAGGCTGAGGGACCTGAATCTCTTCAGTCTCCGTAAGAGGAGACTGAGGGGGGATCTTGTGGCTGCCTACAACCTTATCAGGGGCCACTAACAGGGACTCAGGGAGTCACTAGGAACAATGGCCACAAGCTGAGAGAAGATAGGTTTAGGTTAGATATTAGGAAGAACTGCTTCACTGTAAGGGTGGCCAGAGCCTGGAATAGGCTTCCCAGAAAGGTGGTGCTCTCACGTTCCCTGGAAATCTTCAAAAGGAGACTGGATAGGCAGCTGGCTGGGGTCTTATGACCCCTGCCACCCCCAGTGTCATTCCTGCCCATGGCAGGGGATCCGACTAGATGATCTGTCTAGGTCCCTTCCGACTCACTGATTCTATGACCAAGCCTCCGGTTGCCTCAGGGCATCTGGGAACATGCCCTGCCCTGCTTTTTTCCCCTGTGGTTTTTTCTGACCCCTGGATATCCAAGGGTCTGATTTTGCCCCTGCACCACAAATTTGTTTTTTCGTTCCCAGATGTGCCTCTTGCAGCACCTCAGAGGGCTTTGAGATGCTGCAAGATGCACATGCACGCTCATGTGGCTGTGCCCATCATGTCTAGAGATGATTTTCCAGCAGTGTGACCTTCTGATTTTTATTTCACCTATCAAAACAAAGCAATGACCTACTCCCTCAACAACAGCTATCCTTATGGAAATTTGAGGTTTTTATTCACTGTTTTATTAACTAACAAAAGCACCATAAAACCCTTTCAGCTGAGGATTAAAACAGAAAGAATCAGATTCACAGAATTTGTTCCAGAAAGTTATGAGAATTTAAAAAAATAAATATATAATGAAGATGATAAAGCACCTTCGAAATTAACTGGTTAGTTGCTGAACTAGTTTGGCTTTCTGCCACCCTGCACTGCCTACCCAGAATATACTGAAGGAACTGGGGGCAGGGGGGGTTGTTGATTTTTTTTTTCTGCCAGAATCAAATTTCCTACTTTTCCTACTGCTTTGGGTTGGTTGGAGACCATTTTCTGTGGGGTTGTGTCAGAGTGACAGCAGGCCCAAAAATCAGATTCCTTCCCACATTCTTTTGTAGAAGGCTATTACCTGAGCAACAGAGAAAGACATATATATTCTTTGCTAGCACACATTACTGGAGAGCTGTCCAACTGGCAGCCTGCAAGCAGCTCTTGCTGCTGCTACAGTATTTCACTGCCTATCTCCAACACTGTTGGCTCACAGGTAGGCAAACAGTAGTCCTTCTTTGGAGGGGGGTCAGTTCATGCCAAGATGGGGGTGCAGTGTAGACAAGGGTAAGGATGGGGGGCATCATGGTGTGGGGTGTAGTCAGAACATCCAGTAAGTGGGTAAGTAGGGGACCCCCGGGATGGGGCAGCACAGCGTAACAGAATTGCTGCAGTCAAGCAGGGTTGCCTACCCAAGATTTTTTTAACACTATAGTTGGATTAAACCCCTAAATATGAACCTGGCCCTCATCCAAAGCCCAGCAAAAGAATTACATTTATGCTATGTAAAACATATGGCAGTAAAACAAGTTTGGTTGCCAGTAAAAAGTTTGCAGATTGTCAGCAAACAAAATTGGGTTGGCAACCCTGGAAATGAGTCCAATAAGGAGCTCTTATTGTAGACTCTGAAGTTGAAAGTCTTTCTAGTGTCAATAAAAACTTATTTAGGGAGGGAAAAACAGTAATCAGAAGTGTATTAATATATAAGAAAAAAGTACAAACTCTCACCTTATTTCATGAGAAATTAGACTAAGACTTATGGGTAAACATCTCCCTGTGCAAGGTATCCAGTGCTATTTGATGATTAAGAAATTATTAAAGAGTCTTTCCTTTTGGGCCTGCAATATAAAGAGCAAGGAGAAAGACAGTTGTTTCATACCTTGTAGAAGCTGTATTTGCTTGCTGGACTCCTCAACCTGCAGTCGGTATGCTTTTCTCTCTTCTTCCAATAATGCTATAAATGAAAATGGAAACTTGTCTGAAGTTTTTGTTAAATATTAATAAGAAATTATTTCAGTTTTGTAATTTGTCAGTTTAAAAGGTAATCTTAAATTGTCTCCCTCTTTTTTTTAAGGCTTTGAGAGATTAGATTGATCAAATTATCCCAAAAAGTTATCAGAGCTGGTAGTTATGCGAGTGGTTTAATAAGTTTATATTCAATAAAATATTCTATTATTTTTGGTTGTAGCGTAATTAATCTTATAATTAATATTGTCCATCTTTTGACCTTAAAAATGCAATTCTACATTATGTGGATTGCTGTGGGAGGGGAAGAAGAAACAAGTTTGTGGAGATTTCTCAAAAAGAATGCTGAACAGGATGAATTTGAAGCATACTACACTGTTTTCTGTAAAACAAACAAACAAACAAAAAAACAAAACAACCCCCCCCCCCCCAAGACTAACTGGTGACACTACAAGCAGGGAGTATGGATGACTAATCTAATGCATCAGTAATTCATACTCATGTATTCAAATATTTTGCATTTCATCAAATTACCTAAATGTATACTGATCACAGAATATCATGATTAATTTAGGTCTCTAGCAATTTAAATACTGGAATAAAAGCCACTAACCTGTCTGCAGCTTCTACATAAACATACCTTTTTCTGACATTTTAAACAGTATACAAATAAACACTGTGCTAACAGAATATTTACCGTAGGTTCAAACAAAAAAAAATAATGCAAGCATTCCCTTTTAAGATCACTTATTAAATTTATTTAAAAGGACAAGTATTTGGGATAACACTTAAGTAACATTTTAATGGGTACCCTATATAGTCAAATTTATCTGGGTCTCACCTTGAAGTTCAAAACATTTTTGTTTACTTATTCTAGCAAGCTCTTGGGCATCAATCAGCTCCTTGTGCAGATGCTGAATTTCTTGTTTAGCCTCAGTTTCTGATTGTGCACCCTGCAAGTCATCTGATAAAAGAACATTTTTATTTAAACCATGAGCCTGCAAAACAACTTAAATTACACTGCCATGTGAAGAGTGACAGTTTTTCTACTTAAGTCAAGCAGCATTAGTTATAGTAATGCTCACCACTGGGTTAGGCAGAGGTTAGCAGAAAATTTTAATATCTTATTAACATTTTGTTTTAATTTTGAAGGGAAAGCAACATTCCATTATATTTTAAAACCAATATACAGAGAAATAGGAAAACAGAATTTGTACATACATATGATCCTAATATATGGGATCCTAATGCCAAGCATACCATTTGAGATCCACAGTACTAGCAAATGTTTGGCACTACTGAAGTTTTTGTTTTAGAAAAATCTAGTTGCACATTGTTTCACTTCGATATTACTCTTAACATTTTTGGTATTTCCTTAATTTAAGATGATGTCCATGCACATATTTTAGCTCGAATAAAATTAAGTGAACAACAACAGCACAAGTGTTCTTTATCATTTTAACAGCTTTGTTAAACAGCAAAAATAAAGACCTCTGGGAATAAGAAAAAAAGACAAAGCACTGGATCAAAGGGCTAAAACAAGTCATCACTGACTGAAATAAATACAATGTATATTTAAAAAAATAATATATATTTTAGCAGAATAGAGAATACAGGAAGCAAATGTATACAAATATTCCTCACTAAAAACAGTGCATCAGCTACTTCTATCATTTATTGATAGTTGAATACTAGCAAATTGGCATGACAGACTGTGGAGGAAAACAGAGTTCTAGCACAAAATATTCTGCAAAATTAGGACTAGGATTCTCAAAGCCCATACTCAGTTAAGATCTTTCAAGTAAATGTCAACCAAGAAAGGGATTGCACAGCATAGTAAACGATATTGCCAAATGACATAAGACATAGGGGGAAGGATGAACTTTAAGCAATGCACGTCAATTGTTTGGTTGAGCAGGGGAATGCTAAGGAGAAAAAGGAGAATGAGACAACCTGGCTATCTGTCATGGGAAACAAAAAGCATGCATTACATGGATTATAAATTCTGTGTCAGAATTCATACAGGTTTGAAGTTAACACCTAAAGCATAGAAAAAAACCTTCAGTTAAGACCCAGAGCTGTTTTTACTGAAGAATCCAGATAAATTAATTAGGACTGTTATTAGTTAAGTTTTACTTTGACTCTGGCAGGCTTTGTGGCCTCAGTAAGAGCTACCACCCCTGCAGTTTTGACCCCCGTGTTGCAACACGACGGGAGTTTTGCTTTCAAGAATTTGGGGTGCCATTCCTCCCATACCTCTGCACCGATCTTATTGAAACCTGGCAGGTTTCATCCTCTCTGCAGAGTCTACCACCCCTGAAAATGTCATCCAAATCGGACAAAAAACAACAAAGTTATAGATATTTTATTGTTTCCCCATTATACCCTATGGCCAGATCTCCAAGGTGGCTCCAAAGTGCTTCGGAAGCTCCGAACCGCTTTGGAAAGCCTAATGAGGCCAGCGCTTCAACCCGGATGTGGTACTTTGGACCCCAGAGCCTCCAAAGCTTCTCTGGATCCGAAGCTCTGTCCGAAGCCTCACACAACCCTATTTCAGGCAAAAACGCCCTTTGTCAGGCTGCGGAAGTGCCTGTAGATGGTCTGTGCTCCTCCTGGATGGAGTGGTAAAGCAGCCAGAGGCCAGAATATATGAGAAAGCCAGTGAAGTTAAAATGTAAATTGTACAGGTGCACTGATACATCAGTTCAATATCAGATCAGCACCAGTATAAAGAAAATTGACAATATCAGAAATTGGCCTGATGTGACCAATAAATGCCTATGTGTGCATGAAGTCACAGTGCAGCATGCAGGCAGCAGGAAGTAGAGCCTGGCAGGGTGCAGCTGGTAAGTCTGTTGTGGTGAAAGTGGAGGGGGGAAAGAAAGGGGCATGGTGGAGGGGGAGGCAGATCAATGCCCCCTGCGGTAAGGGAGGCAGTGGGGCTGGGGCTCAGGCAGGCTGCAGTGTTGCAGTTGGGATGGGTGGCAGCAATGTTGAGCCCACCCACATCTAGGGGCACCCCCAACACCTGTGCCCTCCTGGACAAGCGGTGGGAGCAGTGGTGGGAGCCACCCTGCGCCTCTCTGCACCCCCAGATGAGCCACAGCTCCGTCCCACACCCACCTCAGCTGGGTAGCACCTACCCGAGCCCCAGCCCCACTCCCTCTCTCACCATGGGAAGCACTAATCTGCCTCCCCATGTCCCTTCCCTCCCCACTCCCCTTTCACCACACACTTACCAGCTGCATGCAGCTGCATCAGAAATCAGATCGGTATCAGCCAATATGCCTCCTTAAATATCGGTATTGGCCCCCAAAATTTTTAACTAGTTTAACAATCAGTGCAAACAGCAGCAATTAAAAGTATCCTTGCTAAACAGTTTTCAAAAGCACTCAAAGTTGGCCTAACCATTCTCACAAATCAGCAAGAGTTGTATCACTTATTTCAAAAGGAAAAAGTTAAACTGGCAAAGAAGTTCTTTGAAAAACCCAAGCCTTTGTTTTTTAATCATTTAATCCTACTGATAAAAAAATTCTAACTATGATCATATAATTCAGTATACTTCATTTTTTTCAACAAAATTATGCTGCTTGATCTCACCAGCAAGCGTGACTTACAGTAGCAAATCAAATAATTTTGTCAAAAGGCAGAGCTAAAAAAAAGCATATATACAGATGTACGTTTACAGATATACATACACACCTGCAACAGAATCTGGGAAGATAAGAAATTTCTGAAAAGTGAGAAATAAGTAGACCCATTTCAAGAATTAAACTCTGATGAATTGAAAGGGATGTTAAAAAGTTACTGCTAGTACAGAAGATTTCCAAACTCCAGCATACCTAGAAAGGGATAAAGTATACTCCTACAGTAGCAGTCTGTCAGTAGTTTCTCAATGGCTATCATCTCTGTATTTTTTCATTATTATGTACCAAGGCCAAAAGTAGGTACATGGTTCAACATTAAAACAGATTTAAGAAAGGCATTTCAAGTTTTATGCAAAGTTAACTGCTTCAGGGACATAAAGGTGTCTGTGCTGAGTACAATACATCTACTATTGCTTAGCAGATGCTAGGAGAGCTCCTATCCTATACAAGCCTTAAAAGAATAGGTTATGCCTTCCTTTCACATACTTCTACTTTGCCTCTAGGGCTGGACTTAGAAGTACTGTTAGAAAGTCAGAACAATGTGTGCTAAAGCATTCTCAGGGCATACAAGACACTTACTTTTCTCCAATTTGGCTAAAGCCAAGAACTACAATTCAGACTTAGGGAGACAACCCATTTCTCAAACTAGTCAGGCATAACACGTGGTATGAGGGACACTTGCAGAAACACTTTCTACCCAATTTATAACTGCACTTTCTAATGTCAGAATTAGACATTAAATAAATTATAATGCCCATTAAAATCATAGTAGGAAAAAGAAAAAAAAAAACTCAGCCAAGACCAAAACTTCTCCACAATGATGGAACCTAGACAAATAAAGCACCAAGACAGCTCCGTCTGCGTAGCTGCCCTCGCAGAAGGCTTCTTGGCGTTCTAGTGTGAAATCTACGCTCAGAACCATGGGTACATTCTGCTTTCTAGTCACCCCATGTCCAGGCACAGCTTGAAGACTATCTGGGGAAACAATTTAATTAAGACAAATCTGTACAACTCCCACAACAGTTCATTTCCAGAGTTTTTGAATGACCCTATCCAATATCATAACTTTGTGTGCGTGTGGGGGGGGGGGGGACGGGGGGACGGACATGTTGTCCAACTGAAACCAAACAAACTTAATTAAAACTTGAGTTTTCTTCAATATTTTGAAATCCACAGCATGTAAACTACATTATACAAGTAGTGAGCATATTGCTTAAAGGAAATGTTAAGAATCTGATAAGAACAAAACTATTACAAGTTCTGCCCATCTTGATTGCTCCCAGCAGGTCTGCTTGTTGGGCACAGACAGGGCCGTACCTGGGAGGGTAAGGAGGGAGTGTGATTTGGGGCAAGTGTCCTAGGCCCTGTGCTTTGTGGGGCCCCATGGAGCCAGGCAGAGCAGCGGCGGTGAGGAGCTTGGCGGAGTGGTGGCTCCACATCCAGCCGCTCACTACCCTCCCCCCTGGTGCTGCCAATGGCAGCAGCAGCTTCTTGAGGTCTGGGACCCGTGAGATGGGAGCAGGGCCCCGCATGGGCTGATTTGCCCTGGACCCCGCACTCTGCTCCGGTTATCTCT